ACATAGAAGGAAGCACCAGCTGCTCCCCTGCTGGTCAGGGATTTCTCTGCCCACCAGCAGCTTGCTCTCCTTGCCCTGCGGCTGGAGAGGCAGGCAAGGATTGGGTTCCAACATGGGTGTACATGACACAAGGGTTTACTTCACCCTAAATTGAAGCGGTGGTTTAAAAACAAAACAAAACACCGTTTCAATTTAGGGAAAATTAAACCCCCGTGTCATCTATAAATTCCCTTCAAGACTAACTTGTTAGAAGTACATAACTTCATAGTCATAAGGCCAATATTCCCTGACAAAAGCTCAGGCCTTTCTGAATGAGTTTAGCCTGAAGTCATGAAGAAGGCAGGTGCCTTAGAGTCTAACTTCTAACTACCTCTCTCTCTCTTGATGGTCATGCTCGTTTATTTATTTTGCCGGGTGCTATGGACATTTAGTTCTGGTATCTTTGATTTTCATGCACAGCTTCTGAGGAAGCTGACTGGGATCCACAATGTCATGTTATACCAGAAAGCTACATGCATTCTGCGCATCTCAGGGTCAAGTTCCTTATAGCAATACTTTATTTCAAATAATATGAATCTACGAATCTGTTTGTTTCTTTCACTTCGTTTCTTTTCTTGGGAGCAAAATTCTGCTTTTGAATATTCACCAGACATTTCTTATCATTTCTAATTTGATGTAGTCTTATGACTTTGTGTCATGGTGCTTTTAAGCCTCCCCAGGCATTGGGTATTGGCTACAGCTATGGCTGGGGGACTCCAGCTGAGGTGTGCCAATACTCCTGCTAGGAACAAGCCAGAAGTTCCTGGCTAGGATCAGACTGCTCAGGATCAGACTGATCCCATATATGGGGTCAGGAAATAATTTTACCCCATGGTCAGATTGGTATGTCCTGTGGTGGTTTTTGCCTTCCTTTGTAATGGGTGATTTGGCCTTTTATCTGGCACCTCTTGAGTGTTACAAGAAATAATGGCCACAAGCTAGCAGAGAGCAGATTTAGACTGGACATTAGGAAGAACTTCTTCACAGTTCGAGTGGCCAAGGTCTGGAACGGGCTCCCAAGGGAGGTGGTGCTCTCCCCTACCCTGGGGGTCTTCAAGAGGAGGTTAGATAACCATCTAGCTGGGGTCATCTAGACCCAGCACTCTTTCCTACCTATGCAGGGGGTCGGACTTGATGATCTATTGAGGTCCCTTCCGACCCTAACATCTATGACTGTATACTGACAACATTTTATAGAAGCGCAGGACATTGACTGCTGTGCTTCCATTGCTTTACCTGTGGCAGGTTAGGGTGTTAGGTCTTTGTTGTGTCAAGATTGGTGGTAGTCTTATGTAGAGTTTAGATTAGAGTTTGTATGGGATGGTTTGGATAGTGATGCTCCTGTCTCGGGACTAGATCAGAGGTTCCCTATCCCCAGGCCGCAGCCTGGTACCAGGCCGTGAAGGGTTGGCTGTCAGACCGGAAGTCTGGAAGTGACCAGCATACTGTGGACGGGCAGTCAATTTTTTTTTTTATCCTGGGTATAAAAAAGGGTTGGCTGCTGCTCCACAGTATGCCGGTCACTTGTGCACTGCAGTTTGCCGGTCCTCAGTTTGGTGGTCCGTGGTCACTTCTGGTCTGCAGTTTGCTGGCCTGCGATCTAAAAAGGTTGGGAACCCCTGGACTAGATGACTCTGGAGATCCCTTCCAGCCTTACATCTCTGACTCTGACTATAAAAACAATTCCAGGATAACAGTCATAAGAATGCACTGTTATTTCTTGTTATGGTTCATTCAGATCCTCCCATTACAACATCATTGGGGAATATCCTTTCTTTTTATTTCACACTGAATTTTACAACAATCACTTTACTCACCATTGAGAAATTGGGCTAGAGTTGCTTCTGGTGTAACTTGCCATAACTTTTTTTTTTTTTACTTTAGTAGATCTGTGCTCAGTCACATAAGCTGCTTTTGACTTCATGCCAATGTAAATGAGCAGTAACTCCACTGTGACTAGCAGAGTTGCACCAGTATACTGGTGTGGCATCAGAATCAGGCCCATAGCATCCATTATCTGGACAATAAATTATCTGAAGATGTTTTGGATTGCATTAATCTCTAGCTTCAATAAATATATGTAACATTAGTCACTGGTTGATAGAAAATACAACACATAATTTAGTTATGAGAGTGAGAATAGAATATAAAATTCCAGTGACTACAACTGAGCCATTGTAACTCTTGCCGTGAAGACAAAAAAGCGGTGTGGTTCTGCTCACACTTATACACACTTCAGTGAAGATATTCCTGATTAGCACTGAGAGGCTTGGCTACTGAATTGGCTATTGGTATTATATATGCTTCCTGTCTGATGAATCCACCTAACCTACTGTTGTCTGTAAATAGCCACTTGATTTACCAGCTACATGGCACATACTCTTGGAGTGCTTGGAGAGCAAAACAAGACACTTTCCACGTCAAGTTCATCACGGGGGCACAGAAGGGAATTGGTGAGGTTTTATTCACCAAGGCGCCCCCGGGGGTTGCAAGAAATAATGGCCACAAGCTAGCAGAGAGCAGATTTAGACTGGACATTAGGAAGAACTTCTTCACAGTTCGAGTGGCCAAGGTCTGGAACGGGCTCCCAAGGGAGGTGGTGCTCTCCCCTACCCTGGGGGTCTTCAAGAGGAGGTTGGATATGCATCTAGCTGGGGTCATCTAGACCCAGCCCTCTTTCCTGCCTATGCAGGGGGTCGGACTCGATGATCTATTGAGGACCCTTCCGACCCTAACATCTATGAATCTATGTCAGGTTCCCATGTTTGCTGCAGAACAATTGAGTTGCTAGTTGCATATGCTTTCCTGCTCACTCAAGCAAAGGTATTGTTTCATTATTGATCATTGTGGTACTGCTCTGGAGCCTTGGTTATTTGGTATATTTAGTTGTACTGCAGGTCAAAATAACCAAATATAAATTCCAGTGCACAGCATTTAAGAAAGGACAAAAGTATGCATGAAACATTAATCATGTCACCTAATGGAAGGTACTTGTATACTACAGTAGCTTGTAGAGAAGCAAATTTGTTCATTGCATCATGTCACAGACTGCAGAGGTCAGGTGTATAACCTCCAAGAGAATCTGCACCCTAATGTTCTTTAAGCAAGGAATGAGCTAAAGATACTTGCTGCAAATGCAAAGTTGTGTGACATGAATACAAAAGATGACTGGAATATTATACAGAAAGAACTGCATGACAGGTTGGAAAAACAGACATGGGATTAAACTTTGATGGGCCAAAATACAATTAGAAAGTAATGACAATAATTTTTTTTCTGTAAGTGGGATGACTTACCATTTGGGGGAGAGAGGGGAAAAAAGTCCTTTGGTGTATTAGTCTGTCTCAAGGTGCCTATGACTCTTATGTGGTGTGGTGGAAAAGGTAGACATTATTCTAGAATATATCAGGCAAGATATTTCCATTAACAATAAGTATTAATTAATACAAGGCAGTGGGGAAAACACCTCAAGAATACAGTGTACAAGTCTGGCTCATGTTCACAACTGGAATGAATGCAGAAGCTAGTAGACTGATTAGAGGAATATACTAAAATGTCTGGGCTTGTTCAGTCTACCAATACAAGATCTGAGAAGGGATAGGGTTGCTGTCTGTAAAAACATATGGGCAGCAGTGTAACTGGGGGGCAGAGGGGCAGCAACCTGGGACACTGACTTAGGGGGAATCATTACAACATCCCAATGCATCTGGATTCTTCACTGCATCTGGAGTAGCCCTGCCCCTTCTGGTCACAGGAGCCAAGCTGGAGAAGTCCTGCACCTCCTGGCTGATGGAGCTATGTGTTGGGACAGGGGCTGCCTTGTACTCAAACTAAAAGATGATAATTTTGGGATAGAAACCTCAGAGCAGTGAGGTTCTGGAGGAGCTTCTAAAGGGAATAGGAAAGCCAAAAGACTTCGTGTGTTGGGGTTTTTTTTGTTTGTTTTGGATAGTGTTTGAAAAGTTTAAAAGGGACAATATGATTAATAGATTCATAGATGCTAGGGTCAGAAGGGACCTCAACAGATTGAGTCCTACCCCCTGTCTAGGGGGGGAAGAGTGCTGGGGTCAGATGACCCCAGCCAGATGCCTGTCCAGCCTCCTCTTAAAGACCCCCAAGGCAGGGGAGAGCAACAGCTCCCCTGGAAGCCCATTCCAAATTTTGGCCACCCTTACCATGAAGAAGTTTTTCCTGATGTCTAGCCTAAATTTGCCCTCAGTCAGTTTGTGACCATTGTTCCTTGTTAGCCCAAGAGGTGCCCTGGTGAGCAGAGAATCTCTGATTCCTTGCTGTGCCTCCCTAATGAATTTGTATGCGGCCACAAGATCCCCTCTCAGCCTTCTCTTGTGGAGGCTGAAAAGATCCAGGTCCCTCAGTCTCTCCTCATAGGGCTTGTCCTGTAAGCCCCTAACCATACAAGTGGCCCTCCTCTGGACCCTCTCGAGACTATCAACATCCTTCTTGAAGTACAGCACCCAAAACTGGACGCAGTACTCCAATTGTGGTCTGACCAATGCCACGTAGAGAGGAAGTATCTCCTCCTTGGATCCATTTGTCATGCATCTGCTGATGCATGAGAGTGCGGTTAACTCTGATGTCGTGAAACTGTTTCAGGAGGTTTAGGCTGTAAGGTGCTAGGCAGAGACACCTGTACAAATATGAAATCTTGTTAAAAGTCAGAGGAGTTTCTTGGAGGGAACTAGCTGTGCAGATGTGTTGAATAGAGGTCACCAGGTGCACATCCAGGTTGGGGAGGTACACTGGTACACTTGTACCTCCCTTTGATTCCTGGTCCATCCAAAATTTAAAACAGACTTCCTGGCAGTGACAGCAGCATTTCTAGTCGGGCAGTGCTGAGGGAGTCCATTGAATTTATGGCTCGTTATATTCTACCTGCTCTTC